TAAAAATGAGATGAAAGAAAGTAACTCATCTTCATAACTTCCACGGGTGCTTGTCTTACCCCAAAGTGCACACCAACACAAATGACCTTTTCTTTCAATAGGACCACACTGCTATGGGCAGACTACTGGCTACTTTTTCCTCTTCCATATGTAGATTCGATGGGATGAAGTCACTGTAGCACCTCAGAGGACAGAATACGGCTTCAAGATCCAGTATATTGCTTTTGACTCTTCTGTGCATTAGGCAGAGCCATTCATCAAAGCTAGATCTGAAATAAAGAATTTATTCAACCAGTACAATTGATTGCTGTGAGCAATACGTTCAAAGAAGCGCAGTGATCGTGGGACTGGATCCTGGTTGCCGTTTCAGTGTTTCATGAGACTCAAGTGACTCTATCCAGCAGCTACTGTAGAAACCTGCAGCTGCCCTATCTTCCAGCACAGTGATGGCTCAGATGAGGTCCACATATCCTGCATATCCAGCTTCTTGACTGAGGAATTCTGTACCAGTGCTTAGGATTTTGTGGCATGAGCCTGGTTACACTTAGCATCTTTATGAAAATTCCTGCTTCTGGATTTCTTCTGTAATGTAAGGACACCTGTAAGCTTCTGGACTTGACGGGTAAAACCCTGAAACTGATGCAAAATCATGCCACCATCCCCAAAACTGAAACCAACACTAAACTGTGAATCACAGTCCCTCCCAAGGGGACCTGTGATGGTTTGCAGCCCAACTCACAATATGCGAATACCCAAGGCTGGAGCTGGTGACTTCACCCTGCTGAGGGCATTTGGCACTACCCCATCCTGACCATGATTGCTAAACCAGTGCATTAAAGGTGCTTCTGCAGTAGAGATGAAGGAACCAAAACCTTACATTACTATGTTTTCATGGCATTGCTGACTATTTATGTAGGTCCTCTTCTAAGACTGTCTTTTGCAACCTCTGACACTGGATTACCTTTAGTGGTAGACTCAGCATTATCTTTGTTTCAACACTCGGAATTTTACAACAACATGGTTTTGCAATTAATGAGTCAAAAACAGCAAATTGCATTAATAAAGATATCCTAAGCAGACTGATTACCTTTTAGTAGGTGACTACAAATAGTTATATAAAGTACTGACTTAAAAGGGACAGTGGTTGCATAAACATGTACGTGAAGTAGATACAAAAATATTAGTCATGACCTTGTTAAAACAGTTGATATGGCAAAACCCAGTCATGAAATAACCTATAAAATAAAATATTATGATTAGTGTCAAGAGCTAATCTCCCAGAAGCCCAGACAAGCAAAGGAGCTTGTAAAAGAAACCAAACAAACTCATTTTTCATTATCTTCTGCCATCTTATTATTTCACAAGTGAGAAATCCATTAACAATTCTGCCAAGAACTAGATAGGCTGCTTAGTTATTTAACACTGAGATACTAGCATCCCATGGCTATCTTGATGTCCCTGGGAAAAAAAAAGAAAGAAGAAAAGCAGTAGAGTAATAAATTATTATAACAGTTCCATTAAAACTTAGGACGCTGAAATGTTCAAGTTTATTTGGTATTATATTTAAATGAACCAAAAGGCAATGTTGTACAGTAATGTTATAAAATAAAATTATTACATAGTACATTAACCAAAGCCCCAATAAAAAAAAAAAATCCTAAAAAGTTGTTTGGGGACAGATCCTGCTCCTGCTCTTCTGCATACATTGTTTATTGAGCTCAGTTCAAGCAGCACTCTTGTTTTAAGAAAAGCAAATGGGATTTGCCCCCAAAAATGGAATATCTCTTTTCTAATTCTTGTCGTTTCATTTTATCTTGTGTAATATATCAAGTTCATAAGGCATAAATACGAAAAACAGTTCAATATGCTCATCATTATTTTAATTAAGTAATACAATCTAGGACACTTTTTTCAATCACACCAAGGATTACAATGTACCTATAGCTTTAATTTGTTTATTTCTTTTTAATACAAAAGTCTATCATATAGTATACAGTATATTCTAGTTGGTAACTGGTTCACAAGGTTGATCACAATATTCTTGCAGGTTAATATTGTCAGGATTTCCCCTAGCTTGTATACTCTGTGCAGAGCCGTGGGTCCCTCCTTCCCAGGCTGCTCTCCTCTGGCAGCAGCATCCCACTGCTCCATGTCTTTACCTATTTTTAAGTGAACAGCTCTGTGCCAGATACAGAACCCACTGGGAATGGCTGGGGATGCACATCCCAGTGCTGCCAGAGGCAGACAGGGAGTGGAGAAGGCAAGCAGTGGCTCACAGAGGTATTCTTGGAGCAGGGAGGCAAGGAGCCAGGCTCTGATTTCCCCATTCCCCTTGGGCTTCTGGCACTGTGGAGATCAAGCCCCAAGAGGGAGATGCATGACAAATCACTGTATGGCACATAGGGAAAACGCTGCCCTGATGGAGGTGGGTGCCACTGGCTGCTTGTGCAAAGTAAGATGGGCAAAAGCACCTTGATAAATTAAGAGCAGCATGGATGCTTTGGATGCTGAGTGCTTGGGTTGGGCCAGCTCCACATCACCCATAGCTCCATAACCTGCCAAATTCTTCCCAGGATTTTGGGAACCTCTAATGTAAAGAACTCATCTGGTGCCAACTGGATGAGTCTTGCACAGACAAAAGAAAAATCCCTGCACAGACAAAACAGGGGTCATTACATCCCTAATGCATCAGTGCAAGCACAACCCCAGCCTGCCCCAGCAATCAATAACATCCAGGGCACCCTTCTCACATCTCTGCTTAGACATTCAGATATTCTCTAAAATCAGATTTCTGAGATGCAGCCAAGGAAACACTGCTGCTTTCAGGTTGGGGGATGTGGGATCAGACTGCTTATGCTAGCAGAGGGGGATTGGTGAAGGTGGGGGTGCTGCCCAGTGTCCCACATTCACCCTGCCCCTCCAAGCACTGGCAGACAGGGGACTGGGACTGTGCCAACACAGGGCACGCTGCTCTTTCCTGCAGTCCCTTGTGCTTGCTGTCGCCAGGCCAGGGAAGAGGTGTAGAAGGATTTTCTGATGTTACCTGGAACCAGGAATAGATTTTTTTACATATATTATCAACCTAAATTGTGCATAAGATAAACTGCAGAGCAATGCGCTCCAGAGCATATTCACATGTCTAATATTAGATATCTTGCTGGCATCTCCACATCATCCCCAGAGACATTTCTCTACCTGTCTATATTTACTACACATGGATCCTGAGCTCCTAAACTCAGGTGCTCTGAATCACACCATAACCAAAGGCAGCTTAAAATAGACAAGTGTGAACTGCTCCCTCCCTGCTGTGACTCTATCCTGCAGCATCTGGGAGGAAAGAGAAATAATCTTGGTGTTAGGAATGGGCCAAAGACGCAGAATTTGAATCAGGATTCGGGCCAGGAAGGGGCAGATTTTGGTCTAGGGGTTTCTCCTTGCTCTGTATTTGCTGATGGGACACCCAACCTTGTGCTTACACTTGTTTTTCTGATAGACCAATGAGGATCACCTACCCTTAAATCAAACACAGCATATGAGCAGCGCATAAACAGCTCTCCAGCTGCAGGAAAGAACTGACACACTTCTAAAGTCACAACAAAGCCTTCGCTTTCCTCGCTACTTTTTATAAACCAGCCAGAAACAAAGAGCAAGAGGGAGGAACGAGCATCTGATGCTTTCCTAGCTGCTGTGTCATCGCATAGGGAGGCTGCTTCTGAAGAAAACAAACTACCCTACATAAAAAACATTCACTAAAAGAATCTCTTTTCCCTTACAGGACCAGCAAGATCATGTTATCTCCTGAAAATATATATTTTTTTTTAATTCATTTTTTTGTTTTCATCTATGCTTGACAGAAGAATAATACTGTCTGTGTATCTGCTTTCACTAACCATGGCAGGTCATTTCTGTCACAGCTTGAGAATTCCCTTGAACCTGCTATTTGCATTTGGGATGAAGCATCAAATGGACATTTCCCATGGGATACAGGCTGCTTGATGTCCGGTAAAGTCAACCATCATTCTTAAGTACATTAGCAAGAGGGAAGCAGAAGATCTTCCCATGCTGAATGCATTGCATTAATAGCAAGTTTGCACTAGTGCTGAAAAATTGTGCCCTTAATATAAGTGCTCAGCAACCACCAGCCCTGCTGTTTGAGGAGCACTCTGAACTGTATAGAAGGCTTGCGGGAAAAGAACCTCCATTAGTACCCATTATGCAGTGATTTATGTTATGGGCTTAAAATAGCAAAATTAAACAGTTCTATTTAATCTACAGTCTAAAAAGGCACAAAGACTTTGTGAAAAAAATTATAACTGTTCAGATTACATTTCCAAGAACTTTAACCAAGCGTTGCTTTGATTTGCCAGCTTTGCTTGCTGGCAGGAGTGAAGCTGAGACAATTTCACTGTCTGCGGAGGTAAAGAATACCCTTTTGGCAAGGCAAGTTTGCCAGCTCTATGCAAATGTTATTCAACAGAAGCAACTAAAACCTCTTGTGATTGCTTTAAAACATAATCTTTTTGGTCTGCAGCACATTGCACTTATCTAAGTACTCAGTGATGATAGAGTGGGTCTTAGGGCAAGACCAAATACAAAGAGCCCTTTTTTAATCTGAACATAGGAACGAACTCTGTTCATGGCTACACATTCTGCTTTCAATCAAATGATCATGAAATACATAAATACTATAAAATAAATACAATACATTCAGAGTTTTCTACATTGTAGAGAGCTTTAAGACTTCCCTAGCTCCCCGATGTAATGCATATAGAACATTCCCTTCTATACAGTGCTACCTCCTTGTACCCACACCTCCGTTAAATGCAACATAGCTCAGACAACCTTCCTCTTTTGCCTGGATTCTCATCAGTCTCTGATTCTGTAAAACATTATATTGTTTCTGTAGGAAAAAAAAGATATTGCACTTTTAAAAATGCATAAAAATTGAACCGAGTTCCCATTAACTCCACCAGTCTGTTATTTAAAATCAAACTCAAAACGAAAAATGTTTCCCTAGTTGTGTTTTACTATGTTTACTGCATTCTCCATCAGGATTATCCTCGGAACATTCTTCCTTAGCAAATTCCTTACAGTTCTGCCATCAGACGTTTGAAACACAGCATGAGCTATCCGAGATGCACACAGCTGGGAGTCACGGCTCTGTCCACAGGTTCAGGATTTCATTGTACAAATGGGAACTACAATGACCAGAATGACCGTACAAGCTGCCGCTGCTATCAGAGCAGCTATCTTGCAAACCTTTGCTCTTCTGAACTCGGCTTCTTTGCGTTTTAATAAGGAATCATAGCCAGGAGTATAAATGTCTTCCATCCAGTATTCCAAGTTGTTTGGGTTTAAAGATTCTTGAGTCTGAAAATTAAAAGGAAACAATTGTTAATTGTCTGGGATCTGTCATTAACAAAATAAATAAAGCAGATGTGCCTGAAGGCCTCCCAGCTGCATTTGGATCTGCTGGCAGGAGAAAGTGGGTTATTGCTGCTTCTCACATCCCTTCAACTACTGCTCCCAGTTCCATAAGGCTGATGAAAGTGGCAACAAAATACTGCAAAAAATAAACTCCTATAGCAGTGTAATTCTGCTGCAAAGCCCCTCAAGTACCTCTGATTCACCGGAAACTTTGTCATCTTGGATGGCATTTAAATAACAACTCTTTAATCTGCTAGACAGCAGAGATGTCAGCAACTACTGGCCTGTTACTGCTCTTTAAATTATTAAAGCCCAGCTGATGAGAAGGGTTCTTAACATATAGTCCTTGTGCATTATGTTTTATAAAGCTAACCTTAATTTTGCTACCATAGCTTGCTTTCAAGGGCACAGTTGCTCAGCCCCATCCATCACACATCACCAAAGGACAATTTGCAGATGCCCTCTGGAACAGGAATGCCTAGGACACCAGCCCTTCATTCCAGCATGGGAATACACAATCACAGGCAGCAGGCACTAAGCATCCCACAGAGTGGGGGCTGCAAGTTGGTTTCCATGAAATCCCCCAGGACAGTGATCCTCAGCTTTGACCTCTCCTTCCAGATTCATCTTCTGAAAGTCACCTGAATGCATAATGCTTTTAGGGGCAAAAGGAGAAAGGGAACAGGATACCTGGAATAAGATTTGGTACCACACATTACTCTGGACCATCTTCATAGACGAGACCATTTAACCCCAATGGCACAGTCTGTATCTCTACGGGAAGCAGTACCCTGCTTATTCCCAAAGTCGGAGTCTCTCTGGGTTCAGGATTTTATCATCTGAATAATTTACTTCTTTGGTTTTAATCTTTAGGGCTTTTTTTTTTTCCTTGGAATTTGTGAGCTCTTCAAGCTTCACATTTCCACCTTGCTTGTTTTTCTCCCTTCATCATTTCTGTTAGAGGGGGAAACCCAAACACTTGGCATTATAGCACTTACCAGCAGAAAGGAACAAAGCAGAAAGAACATACTGAAAAATGACAGCTTTTCCTCAGAGCTGTCTCCTGTTTCTGGGGCTCCAAAAGGCCATTTCTTTAAAAAATGAAAAAGATTACACATAAAAATGTTCCAGTGGGAATACCCAAACACACACCATTTCTGTGCTCGTAACAAACCTGATCTAAAGCTCATTGGACTCCGTACAAAGAAATTCCAGCTGACTTGAGAGGGATTTGGGTAAGCTTTTAATTGGCTAATTCAGATTGTGGCTACGAGCTACTGATTGAAACCTTGCTTTGCCTGCTAGCAGCATTTGCTTTTTATACAGAACTACTACAAGAAGTGATTTTGTAGCTACCGCAGAAATAGACAATTAAAATCGAGCAGCAGTTTTACGACCATTTAATGGAGATCCCTAGGATAGTGCTAGTATGCTGAAAAAGACCATCAGACAAGCCTGAGATTGCACCATTCAGGCTCCGAATGACCTATTCCAGTCTTTTGAAAAAAAAAACAAAAATACAGCAACTTCATCTCTCAATGCATCAGAAAACAGCCTGACAATGCTTCATCCCAGTGGATCATCATACACAGAGCAAGGCGATGAGATCTCACACAGACCCCACACATGGGACAAACTTGCCTGACTAGTTTTGCCTTTTCCTGAAGGAAAACCCAGCAGACTTGTCATGTTCCAGGAGAAATTTTAAATAAGCAGAGGTAGAAAACCCCCAAAGATACCCATGGTATCACAGAAAACTACAGTTTTGGACTTCTCTGACTTGGTATTGACCTTTTAACTACTTCAGAAGGAAGATGCATTATTAAAAAGGCCCATTACTGTTAATCAGCTTCCTTTCCCATTTCATTGCCAGATGTAGGAATGTTCATTAAAGCATAATGTATTTACTTTCAGTTCTAATAAACCTAATCACTGGGAAAAAAAAAAACCACTCATCAGTCTGCATCTATTTTTTAAGTTTGTCAGTAAGCTCTATTACGAAGTCTAGACATGGGCTTTGGAGAGTAAATGCAATTCTGACAGTCCTTTGGAGGGAGAGAATCAAACCAGTAAAGTTTTATAACCTTGATCCTAAAGATAAATGATGGCAATAAGCCGATTTCTCTGGTTTGCTCACAGTCGTGCGGAGCTGCTTACAGGGAATGTAATGGCCCTACGAGAAGCAGATGGAGAGCACTTCTCCCAGGGGAGCTTTGCTCCCAAATATCACCTCCCTTGTTGCTTCCACACAGCAGGTAAGGGATGCTTTGCAGAGGAACTTCTTTCAGCCTATTCCTACTCTAGCATACAGTCTGCAATGCCAGGAATAGGAATTTAGTAAGCCCTCTAAAGCTTTGAAGACCCAAAAAGCAGCAGGCAGCTGGGGCAAGATACAGCCTGGTCTCTGTGCTGCTTGGTTTCTCTCTGAGTACTTCTTTAGCCACAGCAAGGAGCAGGGGCTGGTGAGGATGGGGAAGTTTCCATGAGCCAAGCCAGGAGGTGAATTTGTCTCGCACAAATACCTGCACAAACACACACTGCACTAGAGCACCATGTGGATGATTATTTTAACGCCAAACCAGTCAACACGGAGTCCTGAGACATGGCATCAATCGTGAAGACTTGGGCTAACCAAGTTTTTCTCACAGTACCCTGATTCTCTCATAGGGCTTCATCTGACAGTCTGGAGCTGGGTTAGGTACCTTGGCACTGAGCCATCGAGAGCTGCTGTGGAGCAGCAAGTCCCACGCTCCCACACACCACGTTCCCTGGCAGAGAAGCTCTGGATACAAGCAGACTCCCTGCCTGAGTACGGCTGCACCACACAGATTGCTGATCAGAGAGCCCTGAGCTGCAGGTCAGTGTGTCCCAACTGCTGCCAAGCCTGTCTCCAGCTGAGGCAGCTTGCTCTGCTCTGAGGAATGCACACACATGCAAAGAGCCCAAAACGCCTGCAGTCAGCAGCAGTCCCCTGGCTGGTTCTTACCAGCTGAATAAATGCATATAACTGATACACAGCAATCTCTGCATCAGTGTGGATTTCATTATGTGATACATTTTGGGTTTCATAACCAAATACTGCAACTTTTGTTTGGTCTTTACACATTCTGGACACCATTCTTCATACTTTCCCTTTAAATTTGTGCTCAGATACCTTCCTTCCTTAAAGATATCTTGTGTTTATCAGGCTAGACAGGATATCCATCATGGACAGTCAGTCCTGGGTCTGGGCATTCCATTATATATCAGGATTTTGATTTCAAATACACCACAGTTTGGGAAAATTTAAATCCAACATTTGAATTTGTCTCCCAGTAACTTTCTCTGCTCTGTTTGTTGCACATTTCCAAGCTGAACTAAAATGCAAACAAGACACACCATTAGCTGATCTGCTCTTCACATGACTCTGGTTTCCAGCAGCTACTTCAAAGCTGCAACGGTGATGTGTTTCAAAACCAGTCATGGTGTTGAACATCTTCTACAATTATTTCATGTCTCATGTTGCTAGCAAAATGGAAAAATCCCTAACACTTAAATTTTCTGTGAATAATTCAGACAGAACAAGGATAGAAGAGAAAGCAGCAATGCCAGCTCCTGCACCACTCTGCTTTACTGCAATTAGGGACCGGTTCATCTCTGCACCCCTTTGTCCCTCAACTCTAGAGCCACTAACATCATGATGGCTTAGCAGACATTTCTCCATTGCAGAATAAGCTGGGAGCATCAACCTGTCAAGAATCACCATTCAGCAATGAAACACCCACATTCTTCTTTGTCCCTGGCCAGGATGGATAGGGATGAGTAAGATTAGAGGCTCAACACTGCATAGCTCTTTCCTGAGCTATCTAAATCCCTTCTTAAAGGCATATTCTGGCTACATTCATTCACAATCAAGTCATTCAAATTAAACAAATAGGACTCACTTGTAGATCCAATGCTGCAATCTTGCCTTTATCCCCCGAATTCCTCGTGTATTCCTCTATGGTCCATGACGGCTGTGCACGTTTCACTTCAGCCAGCTCTGTCAACCTCATGTCTGTGTAGAGTGGGTTGCTTTTCATGTGTGACTTGAGTGACGCAGGGTAGGGATGAGGGCTAAAGACTTGTTCAATCAAGAAAGCATCTTTTGGTTGTTTAGAGAGTCTATGTGGCTGTGGGATTTCGTATTGCCTGTCTGCCTGCAGTAGGGTTCAAAAGAATTTGAGAGAAGAAACAGGACTATGAGGGGGTTAAACACAAAGCACAGAGGTATCCCTTTCAGAATCACCATAAGATAAAGTATTGGCTAGGAAGAAGGTTTTGGATGGCCTTAATCCATTTGCCCACTTCGTCTCACAACCGAAGAGGTATTTTACAGACACAAATCCATGTTCACCATAACATGAACACCAAGCTGATGCAATAAAGAAAAATTAGGGTTTGTATTGTTTACAGATTATAAAACTATTCTGAAATGGTCCTGACCCCCAGAGAAGCCCAGCTGATCTGGAAAAGCTGAGACCCATGCAGATTCTAGATTCCTGTTAGGATATCAAATCTTAATATGAATAAGTCTTGAGTGAAGCCCCCAGATAGTACCTCCTTGACACCACACCATCCATGGTACCAGTTCAGGGTCAGCTATGGTCTACTGCAGGAGCAAGGAAGGGACTTTCAAAGTCAGAGTTTCATGCTGAGCAGATCAATGTACAGAAAAGCCAAGTTTGGGGGTTTTCTGCACATTTTTTTAGGGTAACCTTCTTCCCCTTCTTCATAACCCATGGCTTATGCTTTCTTGTTCACCCAACTGCACTTATTTCCACCGAGCCTCTTCCTCTCTTTTTCAACCCTTCTCTGCCTTCATTCTCCATTGTAAGGAGGCACAGCATGCCTATCACATGGTCCTTATCAGCAAGGTAGCTGAAGGATCCCCACCCCTCTCCAGTGTCCATGGAATAGAAACAGCCACCCACAGCATGCACAGTATTGACTGAGCAGCAACCAGACCCCAGCACAAAGACAGCAGTGGGCAGCTGCTGGGAGCTATGGGCAGTTTTTCTGGCTAATCAAAACAAGACCACAGTTATGCTGCATTTCCACAATGAGAGGTTTAAGACTTGCTTAAATGACCGTGAAAGTCACAACATAGCTACAGTTAGCATCTCACCGTACATATGCAAGGATTCTTTTCTTGAGGGATTTGAATCCATGAATCTATTTTGTTGCCTTTTAAATATGCACATATTTCTCGGATAAAAGCCATCACAATGTAACTGCAAAACATCCCTTCTAAAATAACCACTAGAGAATTGCAATTTTCCCCACACCCTTTTCACCAAATTGATTACCCAGCATCTTTGTATTGCCACTGATGAGGAAGAATACCATCATCTTCCAAAGATGTCAACCAAATTATTCCCCTTCCCTTTCCAAAAGGGCAAAGCTTTTAAAAAACAACTTGACCATATTGCAGCTGCCAAGCGAGAACATATAGGTGCAAAATCACTCAATTAAGGTAACAATGAAGACAGGCATAATATGGCAGGGCAAAGTATCGTCATAACCTAAGGCTTGTGATGACTATGGAAGACATTCATAACTAAATTATTTTTAAGTGCTTATTACGTGAGTTAAAGTTTAAATTACCTCTTTAGATTTCCTGTGCCAGTCCTTATTTTCTCCTCCATCTCTCTCTTTCCTCTCCTCTTCCGTAATGCCAACTTGGTTGGTGTAAGTAATAGCTCTCCAGTCTCGGGGAGAGTTTGAAATACTTGCTATTTTGGATTCCGTTGCGCTGTTTTCCTCTGTTAATGATCTGGATGACCTCCTAGTAAATAAACTTTTTTTTAAGGCTTTTACTCGAAGACTCTCGCTATTACTTCCACTGGCATCTGAGCAGCACCATTCTGGATTATTCTCCAGTTTGCCTCCATGAGGAGTATTGTGGCACTGAAATATCTGCGGGGAGTTACTCTCATCCGACGCAGCCTCACTTGTCAAAGAATTGAGATCTATTTGCACACTGACCTTCTCCGGCTGCTGGATTTTTTGATCCAACTTGCTTAGTTTTCCCAGGACTTGGGAGATTTCATCTCGGACACCTGAGAGAGATTCCAGTTTCTTCTCTATTTCACCAATCCTCAGCACTAGTTTGCAGACGCTCGTTTTTAGTTCATCATCTGTGTTACTGATGTCTGCCCGGGCCACTTTATCCAGCTTGTTACAGGCACTCCCATTGGAGATCTTTGTCAAATTGTGCTCAGGTGAACTCTCACAGTCTGATTTGTGCACCTGGGACAAGGAACCGGTGCTGTTGTAGCATGAAGACTGCATCACTCCTGTGGACCCGCTGATACTCATGTCATCCAAAAACCGGAAAATGTCACTGATATCATCACTCACGATTTCAGAGTCGTCATCTGAGTGCTTCAGAGAGTGCCGCTCTCCGTACTTGGCTTGGCCTGCTGCACACAAGTCCTTGCACTTCTTGTGGTCCAGAACTTGCTGCTCTGTCTGTGTCCCAACACTTGTGGTCCTGTCAATGCTCAAGATCTGAACAGAAGTACAGTTAATGCTTTTATCCTTAAACTTTTTGACTGGCTCATGTTTCTCCACATCTAGAATAGAAGGGATTTCCTTGGGTTTATGCCCATTTGGTTTCACGGCATAGTTTGCCTGCATAATTGGTTGTGAATCCTTCGCATTTAGGTAGGACTGATGCCTGTCAGCCGAAGGAAAGTTTGGAGATGGGTTGTTTGAACTCTGGTATCGCAGCTTCTCTTCAGACTGCTTCCTATTAAAAAATGATCTTTCAAAGTCGGGTACCTCCTCAGTATTTAAACTCCAGCTTTTAGCTGGCCAGGCAGTTTGCTTGGCTGGCTTTCCAGTCCACTTTTTGGTCTCCTGGGGCCCGAGAATAGTAGTTGGGCCAAAATACGTTGAAGCTTGAAGATCATCTAAGCTTTCATGCTTCACTCGTCTTTTGTCTGGTATAGGAGAATAAACTGGATTCAAGTACTGGCTGCTGTATGGCATTTCAAAGCTGTGGTTGAAGAAAGTCTGCTTAGAGCTTTCTTTCCTGTTCTTAGGCTCTCTGTGTCCATCTTCTGGCTTTTTGCTGGGCGGTATTAAGCTGGGAGATATTGTAATCAGATTATGAAAATCTTCTTTGAATATATTTCTTTTCTGGACACATGTCTGCATCACAAATGGCTCATCATTTGAAATGAAAGTTTCTTTTATGCCTGGATGTATAGGCAAGGAGTCCTGGTCTGATTCATTTTCAATGTTCATGGGGAAGTACGTACTCTGCATCTCGCATGGTGGAGATGTGGCAATGGAGTAGGACGCCAATGCCTGCAGCCTATCCAGAGAGGCAGCCCGGCCCTTCATGTCCTTATTAACACCAAGTAAAAAGTTGGGTTCCGATGAGGGAACAAACTGCTGACAGTCTTTGCAGTCCATCTTTCTGCATTTTGAGGACCTTCTGACTGGAAAACCCCGGTTGAACTCCTGGTCATTCAGTTCACAGTTGGGCACGCAGTCTGCCACATTGCAGATTTCTGTGTCAGATCTACAGGACTCGAAGGACTCTTTCTTCTTCACTTTCTGCCTTGCAACTGGAAGCTTCTCCTTGGCCACTCCCCCATTCATTTGTATGAGGTTGAATATTGTTACTATATCTGCTGCAACCATGATTTTCTTTGATTGCTGATTGTTTACAGTGCATCTCATTTTGTCTTTGAACAAAGTCGCTGGGAAATTAGGATCCAGGCAAGCAGTGTAAAACAGCACACTTCTGAGCTTGGCCAACTGGGATAAATCAAACCTCGCACACAGGGACTTGCAGAGGTCCTGGTAAGAAACAGTATTCTGCTTCGTGTCCAGCTCCTCCAAGATCTTCATGAGGAAGAGTGAGGATTCTTGATTGGACTCCATGGTTTAAGCGTATTTTGCTGTTTAGCCTGGAAACTGTGCTCCACTTCTATAGCAACACACAATAGCAAAACAAAAAAGATTGTAAGTCACCCACAGATAAGATTCAGGACCTTGTAATTCAGCCCAGATGGGACTTGACTCTCTAGCCATGTAGTCGAAGGTTTGCTTGTATAACCCATCCTCGTGGTTCTGAACTCCAGGCTGTAATCCTAGCACTGGTGGATTTAATACTTAAATGGAATCAGGATTTCATCCAAGGAGGCTCGTTTATGTCAGTGTCTTCTAAAGCAAGGAAGTGAATAAACAGCAGAAGCTTTGGAGGGGCTGAACTAATGGCAGATATACAATATATACAATCCCAGCCTGCTTCCTGTGGGGCTTTCACGGAATTCCTTACCAACTTCTGAGAGGTTGAAAGAACAGACACATCAAATTGTTTGACAATAATTCTAGCCCTAGCCTAACCAGAGATGATCTACCACACCATGACACCCCCAGCTGTTTTCATACCTGACTGCAGATGGCTCTCAGAAAGATTTACGGACAGTAAACTTCTGATGTGGTTTTAGAAGTTACCTGAACACATAATTACCATCGTGCTTATTTCAAAACATTATTTTCACCTCTACTCCGGATACTATGGGGCTTTTCCCAGAAATACCTTTTCCTAAGTTTATGACTAAGGAATGGAAAAGCTGCCTGGTCTCATGAAAAATATCTATGTGAGCCCCATTTCAGCTGAAAAGTGCAAAATTTAGATAAGAGAAGAAAGAGTTAAACACAAAAAATCCCACTGAACCTTGAAACCAATCCAGCAGATGCTAGAGGGCTGCCTGCCAATCAGGGTGGATTTGAAAACTGAGCAATATCAAGGACAGAGAACATCCTCTTCAGTGATGTGCTCCCAGAGAAACCCAGGGAGTGCAGCTTCATTCACCAGCCTGAAATGATAGGGCAGAGGTGGAGAGCAAAGGCTGAGCATTTATGTGGATAACAAGAACAGCCTGAACGAGCACTGCTAGCGCTAGCAAACATCTTGGGAAGGATATAAACCCCTGCCCTTTCAGATTTCAAACCAACCTCTAACTATTATGGATTAGGAAAGGACATTGATGGGAGGCAGATTATTTTTCATCTGCCTACTATGAATATCCTTGTCAGTGTCTCTGCTGTTGGCTACTAGGAGAGGCAGAGCACGCAATGATGCAGTCTGCCAATTCCTATGTTTGGTCACTTTGTTATTCCTACAGATAGGAACGACAAAAGTATTTTCATTTCCCAAAAAAGGTATGGTACCTTTCCCCATTCACTCCCACCCTTAGATGACCCCTGAACTAATATCTCCATCCACCCAAATGGCAAAGCATATTAAGTCAGGCTTGCAAGGCTTCTTATCACTCATTTCAAGTCACCTCCCAGCCAAAAACCTCAGTACTCCTGAGCACCACTCCAGGAATACAGGGCTCCCATTCTTGCAACCTTTCATCTTGCCATGACACTGCACACTGGTGATCACCCAGCGTCAAAAGCCAGCATAAATAGGTTATGTGGCAAAAGTCACAGTAGCATCTTCCAGAGGGAAAAAAAGAAAACCACCAGGTTGCCCACGTGAATATGAAACAAGTCTCCATACAGACTTGGCTGTTTAAGTAGCATCTTTCTACCGTCTTATGATCAGAACTTGAGCAGCAGCAATGTGAAGGTATTTCTGTGATTGTAAACACAGCTCTCAGAAACCAATGGCTACAGGGATTTTCCAACACCTCTGCTGCAGGTGTGTTTGCTTTTAAAGCTCCTGTATTACGCATAGCAGCCCAACTCTTCTGTTCACTGACAAAGAGCAAAAACGTGAAATTGCTCAGAGCTCAGCTCCAGACAGTAATGCTAAAAGCTGCAGAAGGATGTTTGTATCCCTTTTCTCTTTATCAGCAGTCTGTGCTCAGAGGCACAGGCTTTTTAACAGCCTGCCTTTATATTTCTCTGGCATGTCACCATTAGACAATGAAGCTCCCAAGCTAGAACTAAACCAAACTACCTGCCACCAGAGCCACCGAGCACTCCCAGAGTAAACTGGCTTAGAGACTTTCCCAGCTGCCAGGGGCTGGCATTCCAAGTCAGTTTTCTGCATGTTATAAGCCTGCCATTTGGGGAAAGAGTGGAAATCTGTCTTTTTGTCACCTCCAGGCTCAATACCAGCAACACCAACTGTCTCCTCCCATTTGTAACTTCACAGAGCTTCTTGCAAAACCCTCACCTGGATATGCATTTTCTCACACAGTACACTGCCTGCACTGGCCTGCCAGCGCCCTGCTTTCTCCCCACTCACACTCCTGCTAAAATACATAAGAGAACACCTTGCAATAACATATTTCTTAAAACTGTAAACCTATTTTGTTCCCTACCTTTCTGCCTTTGAGCTCTCATCCCAGTAAGGATATCCTAGGTACAGTTTCTAGAGTTTTATTCGTTTTGCAACAGCCCATTCTTAGCATATCCCTCCCATCAGAGGTTTTAACTTCAAATTATGTTTCTAAACCCTATGAATCTAGTAAAACCTAGGTGGAAGCCCTGCACACCTCCAAATCTCACACTGCTTTTATTTAGCACCATCAAGGAGCCTTGGCTTGGGGACTCCAATCCATACCCAAGCAGTAAGGCAGCTGCACTGAAGCACGGATCCCAAGCAGAAAAGGTCTGCTTGACATAGTCTAGCTCCATCTAGGATCCTGTACCCCAGAACCAAGTCTGGGAGGTGATGGTCAGCTGTAAAACAGTGAGAGGACAGGGAAGTGACAGAGGGATTAAGGCAAGGGTGACCAGGAGAGAGCTGAGTTTGCTGAAGTGGGAATTGGGGCAGTTCTCTCAACTGAGGCTCAGCTATGAGACATGGGATTTGGAAAAGGCAAGTTGTAAAATCAGATGTGTGTCTTGAGGAACAGCTAGCTGGAATAATTTCCTCTTGGCTGTTCACTAACAGCTTTCTGGTGTGAGTGCACATTAGGTGCGAAAGGTACCTTTGGGCTTCAGCCTAGGCATGGAAATGTGTTCCCTCATGCCAGAGCATTGGAAATGTTGCTAGTGGAGCACACAAAAGATTCAGACTGTGAAGAATAAGATGTATTACCCTATAAGAATAATATATAAGAGCCTTGAAATCTTGTTTTCTAGGTCAGGAATGAAAAACCTAGTGCCAAGGTTTTTAGTGGCGTATTAAGCTCCTCTGCCTCTTGTCAAGCCTCCTAACAGCTTGCGACAGAGACAGGTGACTCTTGGCAAGTCACACCGGGAGATGCCACATCCCAGGTGCCAAGCATTTGGCCGAGCACCATCTCAGCTGTTATAGCGACATTCATTCATTATCTCTCAGAGCAGGACCAGAATAGACCTGGACGTGGCACATAAATGCAAAGCTCCATAGAGAAAAGAGTACAGGAAGGCCTTTTAAAGAGGGTATAGCGTCATGAATCAGTCAAAAGCAGCAAATCAAATGAAATGACCCACAGCAAGAGTAGCAGCACGGAGCCTCCTCAGATGGCCTCAATTCCACTGACATCCTCGTGCCTTACCTTCACTACTAGCATCCACATGCATCCTCCAAACCACCCCCAAACTGACTTAAGTCTCCAAAGACATGGAGCTAACCAGACACAAGGACAGGATCTAGCTTAGTTATCTTCAACAAGACAGTCTCTGACCAAAGGAGCCACTTAACATTTCATCTTTAATGACTTTGTTATATTAACACTGGGAGGGTTGCTTTGACTCAGCTCCCTAAGACTTGACATTTGCTGCTCTAACAGCACAATTATATCCCAGCATGGACTCGTACAGCATCATATTGCATGGCTAGTCGATGGGGTCTGACTCTCCTTGCACGCAGATGAGCTCCAGGCTTACCACAAATCAATGTCTTCTTGCCCTGCACCAAGAGCAATGAACTGAGCTCTCATCTTACCATTATCTCAGCCTCTGGAGAAGAACAAGAATATTACAATTACAACCTCCATCCCTAGTGGTGCTTCCTGCTGCACAAAGGGAATCTACTGTTCTATTTTCTGGTGTCCTTAGGAATCAAGCATCCATAAGACCTCTCCCCTGTGGCTCTCCAGACCAAGGGAACCTGTGCACTCTTTCATGCAGCTTGGTTCCCCACAGGAAAAGCAAAATGTGATTTCCCTCCTCACCACCTCCCCAGTCAGCATCAGGGCAGGGGGTCCCCTCACCTCCTGACTATTCACCATGCAGGAATTCATATTAGTAGTGGTTCTCAGTTGCTCTGGCTGCTTTCCCCCATGGAACCCTCAAACCCTGCCCCATTGGGGGCAGCGCACATCGGGGCAGACAAATCCCAGCACAAGATTCAAGAGAAAAGTCCCACCACCCGACTTCCCTGAGCAGCTGTGGAGTGCCAAGGTACTTTTCACAAGCCTGAACCGTGGCCACTAACAGAGAGACTACATTATCTCCCTGTTATTTCCTCCTTCATTTCCTTCCCTGTTCTTTGTGCTTCTGACATTTCCCAATATCCACAGCAGGTGCAGCTAATACACAGCCGCGGTTGCTGGAGCCATCATTTCCCCTCTCCCTTTGATTTGCCAGCCGAGAGGGAAAGAGCATCCTTGTTTTGCTTCCCCCCACAGTGACTAACGGGCCACCCTATAACAGCATTACGGCGACGCCAGGCAGAGCAAGCGATCCTCACATAAATTCCCCCAGAAAGAGCCAGCTACTTCAGTGCAGGAAAACACTAATATAGAGCCTGTGATATGCTGTTTTACTATTAACTTGAACTCATAAGTCTTTCAGCCTGTCTCCCCAAAGACAGACACTATAAAACAAAACAGGCAACGCACGCCTCGCGTGAAACATGTAACCCATTGGGATGGAATTCAGTTTTTGTTTTTCCCCATACTCACAAATCCATTTCTCTGTCAAAACATTAAGAAACCTGTGATGAACAAACAGGCATCTCAAGCTCTGTCTGGCTTCCTACACACACACACACCGGAGCCGGCATTTGGGGAAACACTGCCTATTTCCGCGCACCTTATTCCTCCTCCTCCCCTGCCTTCTGCTGCTCCTTAGAAAGAAAACTAAAAAGCGCACTTTGGAGCCTTGCCCACGCAGTGGCCATTACTTCTCTCCACCTTTTATTGGAGAGACACTCCTCTGAACAGCCCGACACCAGCCGTCTCCTCCGGACCGCTCCCTCCTCTGTGCGGAGCCGGGTGGGCTCCGCTCCCCAGCGAAGGTAGGAAACGGGTGCTGGCTCCCAGCCTCGCTGATGTGGTTCTTATTTACCCCTCCAGAGCCGAAGGGGATGAACGCCTGCAGCCTGGCTGCTTACAGGGCTTGTGCACCCGCTCTCGCCCGCAGCTCGCTGCTGTTCTGCTCAGGAACAGCACTCTCCGAGCATCCCACCGCTAACCTCATCCGCTGATCACCAGGGGGCTCAGTGGGGACGAGCACTGGAGGAAGTTGCTATTTTCTGGCTCTTATCTTGTGGGAACAAGGCTTGGAAAAACCACGCTTTACAATCTCAGCTTCCCCCCACTACAGAATTCAGCAGTTTTTAAAGGCTCCTAATGCATAAATTAAAGGGAAACTTGTGGATAGAAGCAGCGAACCCCCACAGATGTGTCAGGGCTCAAATAGATTTTTCTTGCACAACATTAGGCTAATTATTTGCATTGTTCAGTTATGCAATCCAGGATCTATATAATCTGGAAAAGTGCAAACAATCATTCTAAACCTGCAATAAATCACTTGAATTATTACTGCATCATATGCTCTTGGTTATTCTTTGCCAACTACCGGCCCATGCAAACACACACAAATTCCATCCTCTCAACACGTTATCAGAGCACATCTAAGTCACGCTTTTCCTCCAAATTTTCTGAACAAGGAGACACCACTGCAAACACCAACAGATAGACACGAAAAGGTCTAATGGAGTTAAGTGTGAGCAATTTATTCCATCTATGGGCAAACCTACAACCACCTCACTGCCACCCCGGACCTGACTCTGCACTGACTGGTTTCCTCACGCTAGCGGGTCCGGTTTCCCTCGTCCCCATCGTTGGTGCTTCCCATCCCTCCAGGCTCCCTGGTTAGGGTTTGGGGGCGCAGACCGGGGTCACCCATATCCCCCCCTCCAGCTGCCAGGGGACAGACCCAGCCGTGCGGGACTGAAGTGGAGCTGCCAAGACACAGATGGAGTTCCAGGATTTTGGAGTCCTCCCTTTCCTGGGGAGCCGGACAAAGATCAGGGACCTCGGGGAGCCCGGCAGGGTCCGCAGGGTCTGGGGGGGGTCTTATCTGCGCTTACTCCCCCTATCCCCGACCCGGCGGAGGGAGCCGGTGCTGAAGCCCCCATCCCGCACCCCATTGCATCCCTGGGGCTGGGGAGCGGAGGGCGGTTGTCCTCAGCCCCCCTTTCCGCCAGCGCACCCCCGTGCCCCCCTCCCTGTACCTGGGGCTCACCTGGGGGTTCCGCCTGCCTCTTGCCTGGGGAGCGCGGCCGTCACGGCTGGCTCTGCCTCTGCAGCAGCCGCTGCCCAGAGCGGAGGAAGAGGAGGAGGATGAAGAGCCCGAGCCTGGAGCCCCAGCAGGATGCCATAGCGCCGGGCTGCGCTGACAAAGGCGGCAGCAGGTTGGCATGGGAGGAGGGAGAGACGGAAAGGAGGAGGGAGGGGGCTGCTCAGGCCGAGCCTCCCTGCACCGCCCCCGGGCCCGCAGCCGCCGGGGGGGCTGCCCCGGCCGGCCCCAAGCGCTGCGGCAGCGGGGCCCGCAGCGGCGGTGCGCGGCGGGGAGCCGGGACCCGTGCTCCGGCCCTTTACGTTATCATTGTTATTATCTTTATCATTAGTGCAAGTACCGGCCGCTGTCGCAGCCTTTAAGCTGGGGGGGGGAGGGCGGGGTGGCTCGGCGTCCCGGCAGCAACGAGCCCCGGACCCCCCCCCCCAGGCCCTGTTTGTATGGGAGACGGCAGCTCCTGGATCCCCCCGCACTGTGAGCGCCGCTATTTCCCCCATCCCTGCACCCCAAATCCGGGCAGAGGGTGTCTGGCACAAAGGTGTGCAGGGGAGGGGGATGCCCAGCACTTGGGGACACCGCACCCCTGGACACCCACCGCCCTGGGGTGCAAAGGCCACTGATGCACAGACTTGTGCTGACCATGCACCTGACCTCTTGTGAGGCCAGATACATCCTACCTCCCCAAAGAGGGGGTTGTGGTCCCTGCAGGGATGGGTCCTGGTGCTGCGGGAGGCCAGTCCCCACCTCGGGTGTGCAGCACCAAAGCAGGCAAGAGCTTACCTGGTGTCAGAGCATTGCTTCTTCCCTTGCTGATGGTCGGCTTGCCACGCCACACGGAGATATCGACGGGAGTTTTTAATAGAGGTGTTGCTGGGTGAATAAAGCAGTAAGGTGTCAGAGGCTTGACTGTTCGTCTCATTAGTATTGTTTGGGAAGTGGACCATCAGCTTTTCTTTCCTAGACGAACTAATTCAAAGGGTTGTATGCACAAACACGTCACGGCCATCAGAACACTGTGGACAAACTGACATAAAACTATGTGTTTTACTCTGACAACCTTGGGAACAGACCTCTCTGCTTTCCTGGGAGAAACAAGGGGCCAGGAGGGGGTTTTGCCTGAAACCCACTGATGTGCAAGTCCTTCCACTGACTTTGAAGAATATTGTGTGTGATTCAGTGTATGTATAATATCTGTAAAGACACAATGCGCATAGCAGTTAATACAAACGAAGACGATAAACATCGTTGCAAACAGAAGAAAAACGTGTTCATGCTATCCTTATTCTTGCCACTACTTTACAGCACTGAAGAGGCAGTGTCCTTGGGCCACATTTTCCATGCTTTTGTCAGACTGTTTTACGGCTTAAGTAGCCATTTACTTGCAAATTGCATGGCTGGATGCTTTCAACCCTATGGTCCTTCCTATAGAGCCTTCAGGTCATCAAAGGGTGGAAAAGGTCTCTATACCTTTCAGAATTGCAAACACCAGAGAATAAGTAGGAAACACTTCTTACCCCTAGTCCAGGTCTGGGTGATCTTACTTGGTTTTGCTCAGGTTCTGATAGGTTTCCAGAGCTGGCTCCCATAGCAAAAGCTGATCCAGCTAGAAAAGAAGGAGCATAATAACAACGAGATCGATAATGCATTCCCGATTATGAAGGATGGTGTTTGATCAACAACCCCTGATTGACAGGAAGTCCCCAGCCACATAATCCTGAACTCCTCGTGGGAGGAAAAGGGATGAATGCAGCTGAAATGGTCATGTATCAGCCAGTGCTCCCTTGGCATGCAGTCCTGGTGTGTGTTCGCTGGTCCAAGTTGTAGCTGTGATATGTAACTGCCTCCTGTAAAAGCCTGGTGAGAATATGCAGCGACTAAAAAGCTCAAGGCTTCAGTGGAAGGGCTGTTCTTCAACACACATCTTTTGCTCCTGCACTGCATGCAGCATACTTCGTGCACAGCATTATTCCCTCAGCTCCAAGGAAAGCCATGCCCCAAAGCCAGGCTGCAGCCACAGCAAAAGGTTGGTGACTGCCTTTTGCCTTCCTCGCTTCTCCCTCAGCACTCAGAAATTACACTTAATTGATGGCAAGGGTTTCATTAGCTCTTTGTGTGCTGTGACCAGGACCGTGTAATTAGGAATCACCTGCAGAAATTGTTTTGAAACAGTTAAACATGGTGCAGATTCATAAACACAAGACGTTGATTCTACAAAAAGACACTGGGTGGTGTGTCCCTGGCTGAAGGTACAGAAGGGGTGTATGTATATATGTGTATATATATATATATGTATGTATGTATGTATGTATGTATGTGGAGCGTTGGGGCCAGGGCAACCAATCTGAGTAGCCTGGGCTGTGCAGGTCTGCAGTGATTTCCCCTCCTCTTGCTTTCCCATCTAGACTCCAGTTGTTCCCCCCCTCCCCAAGCCAGGTTTCATAGAAGCTGCAGTGGGAATTTTGTCTGAGGTGAGAGCACCAGATGAGCTCTCCCTGTCCCCGTTCCCCATCTAATTTTAGCACCATCCTCTCCCATCTCCCCTCCCCACATTTCCTTGATGTCTCTGCTTTGTTCTCCACTCTTCCCTTTCATCTGCTCTTTCCTTCAGTGGCTGGCACATTTACCTTGTCTGGCTCCCCCATAGCCTCCACCTTCCCCCCAGGCCTCCCATCTTCCCTGCCTTCCCCTCCAGCAGCTTCTTCCAAATTATCCAGGTGACCCACTGGGTGTAGGAGATACCTCCTTAAGCCAGGGGTGTCCAGGACTGCACACTTGCCTTTCCTGGTTTGAAGAAACTATGCTACATAGGGAAGAGACTATATAGCCTATGTAGCGTAGCCCTAATATAAGGATATTTCAGCCCCATTTGCTTCCCAGGGCCAGAGCATGGTCCTCATTCATATGTGATGCTACTACCAGCTGCACAAAAATAAACACATTCCCACTGTCTTGTTCTCTCTCATAGCATCAACAGTGCTTCTGTTGGTGCACAGGGTAACCCCACAGGGCCGGTTACACTGAAGCTGATGGATGCTGAAGGAGGAGCTCATGTTGAGGGTGAGTGAGGTCTAAGAAAGAAGATCTTTCATCACTGCAACACTCAGTAGCTATTTCTCTGACACTTTTGTCTTCCTCTCCATGTTATAACTCCCATGGGGTGGGCAGGTTTTTTCCACTCACACGTTGTCCACACTCTTGCCGAGTGTTTTCTTTCAGTTGCAAGCCCTCCAGAGCAGTGTGTACCCAGCAAACTGATATAAAGTGCAGCAAGCCCAAGCTCAGGGCACTTGCTTTGCCTTATCTCATGCAATCTGGCTGTAACACCACACAGCTGTTACAGGCTTTGACTTGCAAAGACTTAAACAAGTGATAAATTTAAACCAAACTCTTTATCCCATTGACATAAAAGGATCATTTTAAAGCACTAAGAGGTCTTTAGGCAGCCTTTTCTTTACCTCCCTTATTGCAACCTCTGGGCAAATTTGTGCTATTAGAAAAACAAGAGCTAAACATACCCAAAACCCTCAACCAACCTGGTGGTTTAGCTGCTCTCAGGAACCCCCAAATCATTTCCTAATGAGCTTCTTTTACTGAGAGGTACAGGGAAACCAAGTCCGTTTTAACTGGGACATGACCATACCTATCATCTTCTTCAGCACATGTCTCTTAAAGAGCAAGCAACAGTCAGATGGTATTAAAATGTAGAAAAAAACAGTCCTTCACCAGTGTAGCTTATACTACAGAGACTGATGCACATTTGCCAGTGTGCCAATAGCAAGTCCTTAGTCTGTTCAGGGTTTGCTCTTAACAGAAAGAGAAAAATCTAAAGCCCAAAACACAGCCCTATGCTAAGAGCACCAGTAGCTACATTCAGACAAGACTCTGAGCCTGTTGTGCTCCCTGAAGCGTTTAACTGGGATTTGGGAGTGCAGGGCAAGCTCAGAGGGAATGGCTGGACAATTTAGGGCATTGCTTTCTTCCCCTTCCTGCCACAGTCTGGGTGAAACACTGGAGTCTCTCTTAAAGACATACCAAAAGTTTCTGAGTCATTAAATAGCACTTTGCAGCATGCAGATTGCTATTTTTATTAAGTACTCCACATTTGCACTTCCTCTGAAATCTCAGTAGGGCACCAATATTGCTGAAGTTGGTCCTGTGGCCAGCACGCATGCAGGCTATGCCTGGAAAGATGCATCTCTGAGTTGGCAGTGGTTATCAGTGAGTGATTGATAATGGGCAAACTTCTTGTTCAGCTAAATGGATTTTGGCAGAGGATCGCTTGAAATACAACAACCAAAAAAATCAGCCTGTTGAATAACATCCACCCATACCAGATGTGCTGAGGGGAGAAATTCTTCAAAGCAGTACACTTGACAGCAGTCCTAGGCAAAGAGAATTTTTCCCCCCAATATATTTACAAAGAAAGACAGAACTGTGAGTGGGATGGATAAGATAAAATATTTTTGTGAATATTGATCTAAATTTTTTAATCAGTTTCCCTCTGCTATGTCAAATTTCTTTCCAGTGGGAGTGGGAACAACTGGTTTTTGCTGGCACAAATGTCTGTGAGTAATAAACCCTCATAGTGCAACGTTCAAGCATTTGTAAAATAAGCTTTAAAGATCATGTACAAAACCACTGATGATTGAAGTGATCACAGGCTAATCCATCTGTGATAAGAAACTTTACAGTTAAGCCTGTTTAACCAACTGAAGCAGCAACTTGTTTATTTATATTCACCACCACTATTTTTTATAAATGAGCCTTCACTTGGGCTTTTCGGTTCAGGTCTTTTTGAGTGCATCACAAACCATGAGCAAAATGGGCAAGATTCAGACACTTCCCAGGCAGTAGCTCTTTTTCTGGAGCAAACATGCACAAAAGCACAGGTATAACTGATGTTATATCAAAAGTGGGGAAAAAAGAGTAACGAGGGGCTGCTTTTTGATTACAGCCCCTAGGAGGGAGTGGGAGTCTTGCAGAGTGCTGGAAGGCTGCACAGATGGAATCAGTGCAGCTCAGTGTATCTGTGCTCAGCCAGTGCTCCGCCTGTTGAGGCACCGGTTGCTCTTGCTCTGATGGGTGAAGGCAGCAGCAAGTGTGACAGGTAACCACCTGTCTGCTTTGCAAGATTTCCTTGACCAC